TGACTGCTCTTAGTGGATTTCTAGGGAAGATATATGTATTCATGTCAACTGCAAATGGGAACACTTTCCCTCTCCCTGTCCAACCTGCATGTACTTTGTTTCACCGCCTCTCCTAACTGCCCTGCTGGAAGCTCCCGCATATCCCTGAAAGGAAGTGGTGAGTTTGAGTCCTGTCTTTGTCCTGGCCTGGGAGGGAAATCTGCTGTTCTCCTTCCCTTAACTATCTGTGGGATTTTCATATTCTTCTGGTTTTTTGAGACAGGGTCTTGCTATGTAGTTCTGGCTGGCCTCAAACTCACTTCGATCCTCCTGCCTCAGCCTTCCTGAGTGCTGGGATTACAGATGTGCACCACCACACCCAGCCTGGATATCTGTGGGATTTTGTAGGTGCTCTTTATTGGGTTAAATTCTCTTCTATTCCAAGAGTGCTAGATTTTATTAGAGGCTTTTTTGGCATCTACTGAGAGAATCATATGATTTTTGTTCTTTATTCTATTACTGGATTACATTAATTGATTTTCAGATGTTTTAAATTACCACTGGGTTCCTGGGATGAATTTCATTTAATTATGGTACACAATCTGTGTGTGTGTGTGTGTGTGTGTGTGTGTGTATCTTGCTGGGGATGAACCCAGCACCTCACAGGCTGGGCAAGTGCTCTACCGCTGAGCTCCAACCTCGCCCTGTACTCTTTTGTATGCAGCTGGATTCCGTGCGTTAGTGTTTTGTTGATTTCCGCATCTGTACCCAGTGCCCTCCGACTACTGCCCCATTTCTCCTTCCCTTTACAACAAACTTTCTGGAAGAGTTGGCTATGCTCGCAGTCCCTTCCCCCCCATTGTTTTGCATGAGCACTATTAGCAGACTGTATCCCCAACACCCACAAACCACCCATTCAATCACCCAAGAACATGCTCCACACCCTTTTCTGGGTGGCTGCTGGTCAGTTTCCTTGGTCCCTCAGCCACCCTCTGCTCTTGGCTCTGGGAGCCCACTGGCTCCTGGCCCCTCCCTCCCGGGCTCCTCCTTTGCTTCCTCACTTCCAGCCCTGCAGCTCAGGGATCAGCTCTGTCCTCTGCTGTCCCTGCCCTTGTTCCCTGAGGCCCTATCCAGCCTTATGCCTTTATACCCTATCTATGTGCTTGAACCCCCAAATTCTCCCTCTACCTTAGTCCTTTTAAGTGTCTACCTGCCTGTTTGACACCCAAGCTGAGGCATCTCAAAGGTGCCAGCAGCTAAGCCTCGGCCTTCTTTCTAAACAACTGCACTTCCTGGGCTTCCTGTTTCCTTCCAGAGGCTTTGATGAGGACACCTGGAACTGCCCAGGACATCTCCCAGTCATTCTCCACATCCATCCCGGCCAGAAAATATTCCCAGTTCTTCCTTGGAAATAAATCAAGAATTCACTTCCAAGCTCCATGGAAATTGTTCCAAGGACACCCAAACCAGTGGGCATTCAAGCCCCACCTACAGGTGTGCAAAGATGACTAAGAAGACCTAACAGAATGCCCACCTTGTGAAAACAGCTGTCACACTCCGGCGTTTAAGGAGCCGTCCGTGTCTGAGACAGACGCATTTCTTTATGGTCCGGGGTGAATCAGACCTGTGGCTGTCCAGACAACCTCCCATCACAGCAACTATGCCAGGCAAGCACCCTGAGGCCACTGTGCCAGGCAGCAGTCAGAGGGAGCTGGCCTGAGCCCAAGTCAAGGTCCGCCCCTCCTTTGGCCAAAGCCCTGGGTGCCCAGCACCACCATGGCCACAAGACCCCTTCCCTCCCTAGGCAGCTTCTCCTTCTCCTTCTCCTTCCTCTCCTCCTCCTCCCCTTACCCACACTGCCCGGCCTTCTCAGTGTTCCTCAGTTTGACACCCGGCTTCCACCCATGTGTCACTCTCCTGCCATCTCCTCACCCAGAGGTCACCAAGCTCTAACTCTAGTTCCTGCACTCGTCACTACGGCCTGGGCCTCCTCTGATAGGCTGTGACCCTCCAGGCCAGTCCCAGGCCTGGAAAACATCTGTGAATACTGACGGCCCAGGGGCTGAGGGGTGAATGAGGGGATGGACGCCAGGAAGGACCCTCCACGCTGCTGTCCTTTCTGTGGGAACAGCGGGCTCACAGTGACAAGGCCTGCTCACTGCCAGGATCACCCACTCAGAGGCCCCTGGGCAGGGCTGACACACTTGGTCCACTCCTGGGGACCCAGGAAACCACAGAGCTGGCTGAGCCTCCACCAGTGTCCAGCTTGTCTCGACTTGCCCAGCCCTCTCCTGCCCGGCGCCCTGCGGTCCCTCCACTGCCGGCGCTGTGGGGCCCACGCTGTGTCTCGCCCATGAGTCCCTCGGGCACAGCACGGGTCTACTTGGAACTGTACCTGCAGTCCCTATTCTGAGCCAGCAGAAGAGAGACAGATGTGTGGCCGGGGACTGAGCCCAGCCACCAGCCACCAGCCATCACGTTCAGGCCTGTGAGTGAGTGCCCTGCTGGGTGCTGCCCCGGACCTGCTGTGGGGGCCGGTGCCAGCCCTGCTAAGGGTCAGAGCCTCCCTGCTCCCTGTGCTTGGAGCAGAGAACTTGGCCTGTTCAACGCTTGGATTCTCTTTTCTTCTTTCCTTTCTTCCTTCCTTCTTTCCCTTCCCTTCCTTCCTTTCATCTTTCTTCCCTTGCCTTGTTTCCTTTCCCTCCCTCCTTCCTTTCTGCCTCTTTCTTTCTTTCCCTGCTTCTTCTTTTGATCTTTTACATAGTGAAATGTGTACACATCCAGAAGAGTGCTACCAGCATATATGTGCAGAGTTACGCATGACTGTCAAACACACACCTGTGTGACTGCTGCCCAAATCACAGGGAGAGCACTCCAGAAGCCTGTGCGCCTTCCCCGCTCCTTCTTCGCCTCTGCCCTCCTTCCTGCCATGCTGAGTTTTACCGCATTGACTCCTTTGCCTTTCCTTCTATTTCTGCTGCCTGACTATCCACGAATGCCAAAGTTTACCTCTTCCATTTACTTTATATAAATGGAACCATGTGGCATGTTACTTTTTGTTTGTTTGGATTTTAGTTCTGTACTGTTTTAAAATTTCATGCATGCTGCTGAGTGGAGACATACTAGATTTCTTGGCATTGCTGTAGTCTCTTGTTGTATTTTTTCCAATTTTTTTTTTCTTTTTCAATTATTTGTCCTTTGGGTTTCTCATGGAAGAGAAACCACTCAATCTCATCATCACGTATTCGTTGCCTTGTTGCTCCTGGGCAAGCGCCAGGCTACCACACACAAGGCTGCTGTGGACACTGAGATGTCCAGGTCCACCGCACAGCTGTGCACAGGGCTCCTTTGGGACATGGCCCCTGCAGGATCACTGCACCCCGTTGTGGGCAGTGCCAATGGTGGCACACGATGCCACACTCGCCCTGCATGGCTCTGCTGCTCTTGGGCCTTGGCTCGTCTTTGTCCTGGAGTCACCCAGGCGGAGAAACAGCTGCATCCCACCGTGAGATTACACAAATTTGCACCTCCTTGGTGGCGATGCGGCTGAGCCATGACCTTGTCACTAGTCAAACGATGGCTTCTTTTGCACAGTGCCTGTGCAGGGACTTGGCCCAGTTTCTCTGGGCTTGTGTGTCTTTGCTGTGTTGATTTGTATGACTTGGGGGACTGAGTCACTTGATAGGCTCAACCACCTCTCAACCACCTCTCCCAGTCTGTAGCTCCTCTTCACTAGTTCTGAATCTACCCTCTAGAGAACAAATACTCTTCCTTCTGAGCTTCATCAGTCTTTTCCTAAAAGATTAGCACTTTGCTACAGTCATTTTGAAAAGTTTTCTCTGCCCCACGATCGGGATGATGCTGCGTTCCTCAGAGCCTCCCGTCCTCCTGTCCGGAATCAAAGTCCGACCATGGGAAGGCAGCAGGAGTCTCTGGTCCTCCCAGGCCACGACACCAGGGTTGTGGGCCCACGTGTGATGGTCAGGGGTCAGGGAGGCCGTGCTCACCATGTGACACTGTTTCAAAGCCCAGGAGAACAGTCTGCAGCTGTCACAGCTGTGCTGACTTCTGCTCGAGGGGCAAAGGGCTGGACGAAGGCAGTCAGGATGAAGAGGAGGACTGTCTAGGTGACAGGTGAAGGAGCAGCTCTGTGGGCCTGACCCCAGCACCACGACCCCATCCTGAAGCTCTTTCATGACAACTTCCCAAGGACAGCAAACCATCCTGGGAATCCACCTGCAGCTGACTGCACCATCTCCTGCATTCCCACCTGCCATGTCCCCATCGCCACTTGACCCAGGACTGTCGTGGCCTGCTCAAGCCGCTTGTGGCTCTCTGTGGCCACTCTGTACATGATGGCTCGAGGGTTTTGTATAAATGAGATCAGGTTCCATCTGTGTCCTGCTTGGAACTTGTGAAATCCTATAGGGCCCGAGCCACCTCATGCCCTTTGACCTTTGCATCTCAGGACCTATGCTGCTGTTCTTCCCTGGTGTGCCCTGGGTCCCCTGGGCACTTCCTTAAGCCAGTGGCATCCCCCTGCCTTCCACTGTCTTCACCCTGGCTGTCACCAGACACAGTACATGTCTATATGTGTCTCCCATGGAAAAAGGAGGAGGGGGAGAGGCATACGCTACCTTGTCCACCACTGAATTCCCACTGCCTGAAACAGAGCCCAGAACCTTTTAGGCACCAAAAACCAAAAAACAAACAAATAAAAACTCCACTTTTGAACAAAGGAAGAACCAAATAAAGGGCATGGTTTTCAGATCAGAGGCAGGGCGTGAGTATGGGGGCAGAGCAGGGTCCCCTTGGCTAGACTCAGGGCAGCAAGGTCAGGAAAGCCACAGGACTCTATCGGGGGAGGGCCTGTGTCCACACAGTGGATCTGACGTCCCCTGCTAGGCCTGCTTGGTACAGGGTATGAGGCTCGAGGCAAGGGCTGCAGCTGAGGGCGGAGGGGGCGAGATTACCTTCACGCAAGGGTTCTAGAGAGTGGGCACGCGGGCTATGGGCAGTACCTCCGCCCCGTGGGGCCCAGATGACCCGGCGGATGGTCTGTACCCAGTCCTCCATGTCCCTCCGGGAGCTGGCCATGAGCAGGAGCGCCTCGGGGCCAGCCGGTGCCTTCTCTCGCTCCCCGGCACCACCTGCAAGACAGAGAGACAAGCCTTAGCTCAGGCCGTGCGTGGGGGACAGCGGGTCCCCATGTGCTGCAGCTTCCAGTCACCTCCAGCCTCCTGCAACCTCGCACACCTTTCTCTCTGTTTTTTCTTTTCTCCTTTAGTCTCGCTTTGCTGTTTTACATATCAAAACAGAAATGATTAAAAGCATCCTAGAACTACTAGAAAAAGAATCCAGATTTCAGGCTAGCTCAGTAATGTTCGGTCCCCACAGTAGCCTTGTTACAGGCTTTGTTGAAGATCAGTGTCACCCACCTCAAAGGCATAATTCAGTGATCCCTTGTACCCCATCCTGAAGGCAAAACCAGATTCCCCACAGAGAGCAGCATTACGGAGCCTGGACACTAAACCTGGCAGGAGCCCCACAACTAGCATGGCCCCATGTGCCCATGTACAGCTGGGCACTGGGCCCGAGGCAGTGGACACCACCCAGAGCCATCTCCCCACCAGCAGCAGTAGGGTTCAGCAGTCTGTGAGCATCTTTGAGATGTGGGGACACAGTTTCTGCTGAACTCTATGTGCAGCTGGGGGGCTTGGTAAGAAGGTGTCTGTCCCTCTGTGGCCACCCTCAATGCAGTCCCATCATCTGCAACTCACACTCCCTCTAAAGTGCCATCCATCACCGCAGATCCCAGTAAGGACCATCTGCTGGTGGGTTGAGTTCCCAAGGGGGAGTTAGGGGAAGGCCTGAGACCCAGGCTTGTCCCTGCAGGAGCTTGAGCCCAGGGATGGAGCCCAGACATGAACCTGTGCTTTCTGGGCACCGGCACATGCCTGGGACTCCCCAGCAGACTCCACACCATTGGTGCCTCTACCCTTGGGCTCCACCCCCATCCTGGAGACTGAGGTACAGAATAATGCAGTACTTGCTGGAGGGACCAGGGCTTCTAGGTCCTGACTCTAGGCGCTTAGCCACTCACCCACTAAAGGGGTGGCAGTCAGCTGGGGCGGGACCAGGCTGCCCAGAACTGGAGATACCTAGAAGCTTCCTGCAGGGTGGAGCCCCGGGGGCGGGGGGTGCAGCGTGGCCACAAGTGCCCTCAGTGAGCTGGGAGGCTCGGAGCCAGGGCGGGAGTGGGGTGAAGCTATTGCTGGCCTCACAGAATAAGTAGTGAAGGATTTCCTTCTTTTCCATTTTTTCAGAGTTGCGTAGGGTTTCTACTATTTCTTTCTTAAGCATTTGGTAGAATTTACCAGTGTAGCTACTTAGACTTACACTTTTCTTGGTGATGGTGTGGTGGGGTCAGTCTCATCGGACGTTTATCGTTTTTATTGGTCAAAACAATGAGCTTTTTGTTTTCCTCACTTTATTGTTAATAAACGTATTACACTTATTTATTGATTGATTGATTGATTTTGGTACCAGGAATCAAACTCAGGACCTTGTGCTTGCCAGGTAGGCACTTGTGCCGCTGAGCTATGTCCCCAGCCCAGTAAACGTATCATAAAGGCTACATGGTAAATATCTTAGGTTTTTAGGCCAGGCAATCTCTACCACAATTTTTCCACTCTGCCAAAAAAAGTGCTAAAATAGCCTCAGACCACTTGTCAAAGAAAAGACCTGGTTTTGTTGTTTGAAATTTCATTTACAAAACAGGTAGCAAAAAAACAACCCAAAAAACAGAAACAAAAACAAAACCCAAAACAAAAACAAAAAGCAGGTAGCCACCGTTTGGTCTGTAGTTGGCCATCCTGTGCTCTGTCTCATGGATTTCTGCTCTGATCCTTATTACTTATTTTCCTCTGCTTACTTTGGGTTAATCTCATGCCCTCCTTTTTGTTTATCACAGGGCTTAATGCTACAGTCAGCCTCCCAAATGCCACCTTAGGGATAGCCCCAAAATTTTGGTATGGTGTGCTTTCATTTTAATTCAGTTCAAAATATCTTCTTATTTCCCTCTGAATATTCCTTTGACCTATAGGTTACTCACAAATACGTAGTTTCCAGATCTGGGGGACTTTTCAGAAATTTTCCTGTTACTAGTTTCTTATTTAATTCCATTGTGGTAAGAGCATGTAGAGCTTGAATCCTTTTTAAAACTTGGTTTTGGTCCAGCCTATGGTCTGTCTTCGCAGCTGCTCTGTGCACACAGGGAAGTCACGCTGCTGCGGGTGTGTGGAGGCCCTGTCAGTGTCACTTAGGTCTAGTCTGATCACCTTATTCAAATCTTAAATACCTTTATTGATTTTCTGCCTACTTGTGCTAGGCACAGGGTATTAAAATCTCCAATTAAAACTTTGGGTTCTTCTAGGTGTCTTTGCATTTCTATCAGTTTTTGCCTCATGTCGTTGGAAACTGCCATTAGGACCTTAAATAAGCAGAACTGTTATGTTGGCAAAACTCCTTTATGCTTACGAACTGGCCTCTTTACCTGGAGTAACATCCTTTCTTTGGAAATCTGTGCTACAGTCACTCCAGCCTTCTGATGCGTGTCCTATGGAGCGTCTGTCCCCATCCTTTTACTGTTAACATATTTATGTCTTTATATTATAAGTGCATTTCTTGGCAGGCATAAGATTGGGCTTGCTTTTTGATCCAATCTGATAAGCTTTATTTATAATGTGATTATTGGCAGGCCTGGGTTTAGGTCTGTCTTGTATTTGCCACTGGTCCCATCTATCCTTTCCTTCTTTTCCTTGAGTTATTTTATTTGTGATTCCATTCTACCTCTTTGTTAGCTTATTAGTAAAAATCTCTGTCTCTCTCCCTTTCTCTCTGTCTCTCCATCTCTTTGACTCTCTCTCTATCTCTCTTGCCCTCTCTCTCTGTCTCTGCCCCTTTTCCTGTCTGTCTCTGTCTCTCTGCCTCTCTCTCCTTCTCTATCTGTCTCTCTCTCCCTCTCTTTCTCTCTGCCTCTCTCTTCTTATCTGTCTCTCTCTCCCTGTCTCTGTCTCTGTCTCTCCCTCTCTCCCTGTCTCCCTGTCTCTCTGTCTCTGTCTCTGCCTCTTTTGACGTGCTGTAGTCACTGCTTTAGTGTTTGCCTTCTGCATCTTTCCTTACTACACTCTACTTTGGGGAATATCACCCTATTCCTGTATGCTGTTATATACCCTTATGTGTCCCAAAATACACTGTGATTACTTTTACTTAAATGGTTCATATTCTGGTGGTCTGAGCAACTTAGCAATAACTGGTTTCAAATTAAAAAATAAAAAGTGCTAAGGATGCATCTCATTGCAAAGACCTTGTGCTCCATTCTGAGTACCACACCAAAAAAAAACAAACAAAAACAAAAAAGTGGAAGAAGGAGGCAGGACAGGAATCCAAGAGAAATGGTTGTAGAATTGGAGAGCAATACAATGTGACAGGCACATAACCTGTCACTTTTGTCCTTGAAGGGGGAAGAGGCAGGAGAGCTGGGGAAGGTGGGCAGCTTCTAAAAGCTGAAGAGTGGAGAAAAAGGATTCTCCTGAGAGCCTCCAGAAAGTAACCTAGCCTTGTGGCATCCAGAGAACCTGTGTCAGACTTCATTGTAGAATCATGAGATGAACTTGTGTTAAACCACTAAGTTCATGGTAGTTTGTCCAGACCAGTAGGAGGTGAATAGAGGCAGTTTCTATTCCTCTATCTTCCAGTTCACCAGTCAGTCTTCTCCTCTTTCTGCCTAATCTGACATTAATCTTGTAAAGAGTACTGTTTACATCATACACTGCAGGTTTCATCTCCAGATGTTTGATTTGGGTCTAAAATGTATGTGTGTGCATGTATGTGTATCTGTATCTTTCATGTATCTACTTCTTGGACATATGAAGTATAGTTGTAAAAACTGTTTTAATGACTTCATTTGCTAATTCTAAAACCTCTGTCATTTCTGGGTTGATTTCAGTCACTACATTGCTTCATTTTTCTCCTCATTATGAGCCCTATTTTCCTGTTTCTTTGCATTCCTGATATTTTTTTATTAGGTGCCAGATATTATGGGATTTTTTGTATTCCTATAAATATTCTCAATCTTTTTTTTCTGAGATGAAGTTAGGTTCTTGGAAACAGTTTTGCTGCTGACAGATGTTTCTTATAAGACCCATTAGGGGATCCTGAGTGCTCATATAAGGCTAATTATTCCCACTGCTGAGAGAGAAGCCTTCTACGTGTTCTCTCCAATCCCCATGAGCCATGCCATCTTCCAGCCTGGCTGGCAGAAGCAAGTAGTATTCCCTGCCCTGTGTTGGAGAGGGCTCTGTTTAGTCCTTTCTAGTGGTTCTTTCTGGCACCTCCTTCCTCTTGAGTATCATACCCTGCAAACTCTAGCGTTCTGGTCTCCCCAGACTCAGTGCTGTGTCCTCAACCTGAGTCCAGTGTGCTAACCTGGGGCTCCCCTTCCTGCACCCCAGCCTGGGAATTCCCTCCCGTCAGTACTGAGGCACACGTGCCTCTTCTTGTTTGCCTGTCTCCTGGGGGCCACAGCCCTCCACTTTCACATGTCCAGTATCTTGGAAGCATTTCGTCCTTTCTCCCATTTTTTTTCTTTTTCTTCATCATTTCAGGTAGGAACGTAAAATGGTCCCGGTTTAGTCATCCTGCACAGAGTGAAAGTCATATTCCCACATCTCAGCGCCCCTATACCTGAAGCACTACATGAGGTGCTCAACACACAGTTACAGTGAGTCTTCATAAATCCTGAAGAGCTATTACTGACCCTACTTTGCAGATGCAGAAACTGAGGCCCAGAGAAATTAGACAGCTACAAACCAACAAGTGGAGGAGCTAGGATACAAACTCAGGTTCACTGTCAACTCATTTTTTTTCCTCAATAGAAAACCATCTTTGCAACAAGAGAGGGCAAGGGAAGCAAATCAGATTATCAAACCCAGGATTATTTACAGCCTTCGTCTGTCTATGCTCCCCTTTTTCCTCTACTCCTTAGGAAAGAATGGGATTTGCACTAGAAAACAGAGACGACAGCAAATATTTCTGAAAGAAATTCATTATGAAAGATAAGCCAATGGCTGCCGCTTCTTGTCTTTCT